AAAATACTACAAAATTATTAAGTGAAATTTCGATTTCAAGAATCTTGCAGGGGAAAATATATTTTAATCAGTGAAGGAGCCATTTCCGACCCTATAAATCATATATATTCTTGATCAGCATTAGCAGGCGAATCTTTCTGGCCATCTCTGGTAGCCAAACAAACCTTTTCAATTTTTTCAAAAATAAATGAAAATTGTGAAAAATCTAAAAAATTATTGGATTTCTTAAAAAGTTAAATTAGTATGCAGATTTGTTAAGCGCCAAACAACTAACGCAGAAGCGGTGAGGACCATTGATTAATCATATTTTGACAATTAAGCGAATTTTTATCTCTGTACCAAAAAACTCAATTTTGAAATGAAATTTCGTTAAATGAATCTAAAAATATATTTTTAATAAGTGAAGGAGCCATTTCCGACCCTATAATCATATATATTCTTGATCAGCATTAACAGGCGAATCTTTCTGGCCATCTCAGGAAGCAAAACAGGCATTTTCAATTTAAAAAAAAATTGTAAGGGGTTACATCGTTAAATTTGTGAAAAATCTAAAAAATAATTCTTAAAAGTTAAATTTAGTATGCAGATTTGTTAAGCGCCAAGCAACTAACGCAGGAGCGGTTTCAGAATTGAAATAAATACATTTTTAACAAAGTTATGCGATTTTTAAACTTTGACTGTCCAAAAAAATACTACAAAATTATTAAGTGAAAATTTCGATTTCAAGAATCTTGCAGGGGAAAATATAATTTTAATCAGTGAAGGAGCCATTTCCGACCCTATAAATCATATATATTTTTGATCAGCATTAACAGGCGAATCTTTCTGGCCATCTCTGGTAGCCAAACAACCCTTTTCAATTTTTTCGAAAAATGAAAGGGGTTACATCGTTAAAATTGTGAAAAATCTAAAAAATTATTAGATTTCTTAAAAAGTTAAATTTAGTATGCAGATTTGTTACGCGCCAAACAACTAACGCAGGAGCGGTTTCCGAATTAGATTTAATGCATTTTTGACAAAGTTATGCGATTTTTAAACTTCGACTGTCCCAAAAAATACTACAAAATTATTAAGTGAAAATTTCGATTTCAAGAATCTTGCAGGGGAAAATATAATTTTAATCAGTGAAGGAGCCATTTCCGACCCTATAAATCATATATATTCTTGATCAGCATTAACAGGCGAATCTTTCTGTCCATCTCTGGTAGCCAAACAAGCATTTCCAATTTTTTCGAAAAAATGAAAGGGGTTACATCGTTAAAATTGTGAAAAATCTAAAAAATTATTGGATTTCTTAAAAAGTTAAAATTAGTATGCAGATTTGTTAAGCGCCAAACAACTAACGCAGAAGCGGTTTCCGAATTAGATTTAATGCATTTTTGACAAAGTTATGCGATTTTTAAACTTCGACTGTCCCAAAAAATACTACAAAATTATTAAGTGAAAATTTCGATTTCAAGAATCTTGCAGGGGAAAATATAATTTTAATCAGTGAAGGAGCCATTTCCGACCCTATAAATCATATATATTCTTGATCAGCATTAACAGGCGAATCTTTCTGTCCATCTCTGGTAGCCAAACAAGCATTTCCAATTTTTTCGAAAAAATGAAAGGGGTTAAAATTGTGAAAAATCTAAAAAATTATTGGATTTCTTAAAAAGTTAAAATTAGTATGCAGATTTGTTAAGCGCCAAACAACTAACGCAGAAGCGGTTTCCGAATTAGATTTAATGCATTTTTGACAAAGTTATGCGATTTTTAAACTTCGACTGTCCCAAAAAATACTACAAAATTATTAAGTGAAAATTTCGATTTCAAGAATCTTGCAGGGGAAAATATAATTTTAATCAGTGAAGGAGCCATTTCCGACCCTATAAATCATATATATTCTTGATCAGCATTAACAGGCGAATCTTTCTGGCCATCTCTGGTAGCCAAACAAACCTTTTCAATTTTTTCGAAAAAATGAAAATTGTGAAAAATCTAAAAAATTATTGGATTTCTTAAAAAGTTAAAATTAGTATGCAGATTTGTTAAGCGCCAAACAACTAACGCAGAAGCGGTTTCCGAATTAGATTTAATGCATTTTTGACAAAGTTATGCGATTTTTAAACTTCGACTGTCCCAAAAAAATACTACAAAATTATTAAGTGAAATTTCGATTTCAAGAATCTTGCAGGGGAAAATATAATTTTAATCAGTGAAGGAGCCATTTCCGACCCTATAAATCATATATATTCTTGATCAGCATTAACAGGCGAATCTTTCTGGCCATCTCTGGTAGCCAAACAAACCTTTCCAATTTTTTCAAAAATATGAAAGGGGTTACATCGTTAAAATTGTGAAAAATCTAAAAAATTATTGGATTTCTTAAAAAGTTAAAATTAGTATGCAGATTTGTTAAGCGCCAAACAACTAACGCAGAAGCGGTTTCCGAATTAGATTTAATGCATTTTTGGCAAAGTTATGCGATTTTTAAGCTTTGACTGTCCCAAAAAATACTACAAAATTATTAAGTACAAATTTCGATTTCAAGAATCTTGCAGGGGAAAATATAATTTTAATCAGTGAAGGAGCCATTTCCGACCCTATAATCATATATATTCTTGATCAGCATTAGCAGGCGAATCTTTCTGGCCATCTCTGGTAGCCAAACAAACCTTTCCAATTTTTTCAAAAATATGAAAATTGTGAAAAATCTAAAAAATTATTGGATTTCTTAAAAAGTTAAAATTAGTATGCAGATTTGTTAAGCGCCAAACAACTAACGCAGAAGCGGTGAAGGAGCCATTTCCGACCCTATACATCATATATATTCTTGATCAGCATTAACAGGCGAATCTTTCTGGCCATCTCTGGTAGCCAAACAAACCTTTTCAATTTTTTCGAAAAAATGAAAGGGGTTACATCGTTAAATTTGTGAAAAATCTAAAAAATAATTGGACTTCTTAAAAAGTTAAATTTAGTATGCAGATTTGTTAAGCGCCAAGCAACTAACGCAGGAGCGGTTTCAGAATTGAAATAAATACATTTTTAACAAAGTTATGCGATTTTTAAACTTTGACTGTCCAAAAAAATACTACAAAATTATTAAGTGAAAATTTCGATTTCAAGAATCTTGCAGGGGAAAATATAATTTTAATCAGTGAAGGAGCCATTTCCGACCCTATAAATCATATATATTCTTGATCAGCATTAACAGGCGAATCTTTCTGGCCATCTCTGGTAGCCAAACAGGCATTTCCAATTTTTTCGAAAAAATGAAAGGGGTTACATTGTTAAAATTGTGAAAAATCTAAAAAATAATTGGATTTCTTAAAAAGTTAAAAGTAGTATGCAGATTTGTTAAGCGCCAAACAACTAACGCAGAAGCGGTTTCCGAATTAGATTTAATGCATTTTTGACAAAGTTATGCGATTTTTAGCTTCGACTGTCCCAAAAAATACTACAAAATTATTAAGTGAAAATTTCGATTTCAAGAATCTTGCAGGGGAAAATATAATTTTAATCAGTGAAGGAGCCATTTCCGACCCTATAAATCATATATATTCTTGATCAGCATTAACAGGCGAATCTTTCTGTCCATCTCTGGTAGCCAAACAAGCATTTCCAATTTTTTCGAAAAAATGAAAGGGGTTACATCGTTAAAATTGTGAAAAATCTAAAAAATTATTGGATTTCTTAAAAAGATAAAATTAGTATGCAGATTTGTTAAGCGCCAAACAACTAACGCAGAAGCGGTTTCCGAATTAGATTTAATGCATTTTTGACAAAGTTATGCGATTTTTAAACCGACTGTCCCAAAAAAATACTACAAAATTATTAAGTGAAAATTTCGATTTCAAGAATCTTGCAGGGGAAAATATAATTTTAATCAGTGAAGGAGCCATTTCCGACCCTATAAATCATATATATTCTTGATCAGCATTAACAGGCGAATCTTTCTGTCCATCTCTGGTAGCCAAACAAGCATTTCCAATTTTTTCGAAAAAATGAAAGGGGTTACATCGTTAAAATTGTGAAAAATCTAAAAAATTATTGGATTTCTTAAAAAGTTAAAATTAGTATGCAGATTTGTTAAGCGCCAAACAACTAACGCAGAAGCGGTTTCCGAATTAGATTTAATGCATTTTTGGCAAAGTTATGCGATTTTTAAGCTTTGACTGTCCCAAAAAATACTACAAAATTATTAAATTATTAAAATCTATTCTGTATTATTCTACATTTTAATGTATTTTTTTTGAAAATCGGACTACTATACATTATAGCTGCAATACAAAAGAAGGGCACATAAACTTTGGCGTGCGGGAAGTAAGCTTCCTTTCTTGTTTCATCTAATTTAAGGTATAGTTATTTTGTATTATTTCGGAAAAAATCGGACTAAATCAAATAGCTGATATATAAATATTTTATACAATTCCTCTTGGTTTTTATTTTCATATTTATTTCATATATATGTATTTATATAAGTACATATATATTTAGCTCTCTTATTTTCATTTCACTTCACGAAAAAGACCAGGCAAACAGCATCAGATAATGTCTCTCTCTCTCTCTCTCTCTCTCTCTCTCTCTATCATTCCTTCTTTCCGTTTCTCTCTATATATATGTATATATTTATATATATATATATCTCTGAAACCCCTTATCATCGCTCTTTACATATAGTATATGCACTATCAGCACCACAACGTTTAACAAAGTTATATAGGGGATTTAATTGATTCAAAAATGGCAACCTTTTTGTTATTTCTTCAATTCAATATGACATAATTGCAATAAATATTTTTATAATTATTAACTTTGAGCTAAAATTGTTTCTGTATATTTAATTGCGAGATTAGTATTTCTTCATGATAATAAAATATAGAAATATGGTAAAATCACCATAAAATTCATTTAAATTTTTACTATAGTTGAAAAAGGCTAAAAGCTAAAGACCTTTATAAATTGTTCCAAAGACTCCCCTTTATAACTCTTCACAAAAAAGAAGTATTTAAAATATGCAATTGTTTTTTATTTGGACATAAAAAACGTAAGCGTAATCTATAGATATTTTGGATGGGATGTTTAGCTCAAGCATTCACTCGACCTTGATGATGGGAGGATGGGCTGTTGGGTGTCGCTCGCATGAGGGGTGTGCGATCTGGGTCGTCTGGAGCCTCTGGAGGAGCCCTGCTCCTTTGGAGAGAAGGAGGAAGACCTACTACTGGCGGCGGGAACCCTGGGCGGACTGGCGCCAAGGCTGGTGGACGGCATGATAGCCGGCCTGGGTCTGGGCGGGAGTGCTGCGGCCGAAGGGGCTCTTCGAGTTCACCTGGAGCATGTAGTCACCCTGCAGATCGTAGTCGGTGGCAATGCCCATGTAAGCACGCTTGCCATAGCCCTTGTTCTGCTTGTACTCCTGGTAGGAGCTGGCGGCTACGGCGGGGAAGTTGCGCTCATTTCCCGGACGCACTGACTCGGCGAAGTAGCGGGTGGCGCGCATGGAGGCCTCCACAACATTGTCGGCACCGGGAACACCGGTCGAGGGTCCATTGGGGAAGAAGTCCACATTGGCCAGGCGCTGGCTGGTGCCCATGCCGTAGGCGGAGGTGTGGATGGCATCAACGAAGTCGGCATCGCCGCGGGCCAAGCCGGTCAGCTGCTCCTCGGGCTTGCCATAGATCTTGGAGGGGTCCAGGGCGGTGATGCGGCGCAGCTTGTGTCCGGTCTGGCGGGTGTACTGGCGACCAGCAACGCCGGCCACATGGGCAGCGGGTCCGGAGCCAATCAGATGGATGATCTCCTGGGGCACATTCACGGTATTGGTCAGCTCAACCAGGCGGTTGCCAATGATCTCGCCGATGCGCTCAATGTTCAGGGTGGCGTACTGCTCAAAGTCCTCGAGGGCATTGCCCAGCTGGATCACAATCAGGTCTCCGGTCTTGGTGTCCTCCTTGTCATCACCCTGGCGACGACGCTGCTGCTGGCGGGTCTCCTCGCTGCTGCCACGCTGGCGCTGCTCCTCGCTGGAGTTGTCCGAATCGGTGGTGGGGTAGGGCTGGAGGTTGTAACGCTGCTGATAGGCCTTGACCAGCTTGCGGGTGGCCTTCTGCACCTGGGAGTTGTTCTCGGGCAGGCCCTGGATGAAGATGGTCACCTCATCGTCACCGAATCGCTGCTGACGCTTCACGGTCTGGACAAGGGTGTTCAGGTTGAACTCGATCTTCTGGCCGCGCTCGCCGACAATGTAACCCTTGACCTGGCTGGGCTCTGGGGTGTAATCGGGCTTGAAGACGCGGTTGAACTGGGACAGATGGTCTAAGGGAAATTGCAAAGAAAAAGGAACTTAGGAGACCCTTTTTAAGGAAGCTTGTATTCCAATTACTTACAAAGTTGGTCCAACAGAGTGGCGCCCTCTTCAAGGCTCATCTCCTGGAGCTTCTTCAGGTTGACCTGCTTCAGCGATGGCAGCTGCTCGATCTCCCGGGGACTCACCCAGTTACTGGGCTGGTCCACATTGTTCAGCGAGTTGGAGTGACGACGGCTTCCGGCCTGGGGATTGGCCACGGTGGCCGCCAGAAGGCAGGCCAGCACGCAAATTGTGCGCAGGGGATTCATGATGAGTTCCGGTTGCTTCCTGGTTCGACTACTTCAGACACCGTACCAAGTTGTACTGCATGTCGATTGCCATCGATCCGAGGGCTTATATACCCAGATCTGGGAACCGAGTCAGCGGATTGTGCACGCGCCGCCGGAAGCGATTGATTCGGCTACCGTCTCCCATCAATCGGATCAGCATTAATCCATTAATCGCAGAGTCAGGGATTTTGCAAGACTTCTTGCTAAGTTTTGTCATTTATGTTCTTTTTTGGTTTTTCTTTTTTTCAGCCTTCATAATATTATTGTTAACGCAATCCGGTGTATGGGGCAATAACTTCTTAGCCCTTACATCATTGGAAAAGGGGGGATCGCAGCCAGAGGGAAGGGGTTTAAATATAAATCACGTAATAAACTCATGATAAGCTCAAGCTGATGAACTTTCAATTTAAATAAATTTATATATTCATAATTGTTTAAAGATTTTATTAATAGGGAATTGTAGAGGAACAACTAGTGCTTTGAAATATGCATCAAAGTGAATCAAAATTTTAAGAATTTTGGAATAATTTAAACCTTCAGTTGTCCAATCCAAAATAAAGAAAAATATGTAATGTAGTAAATTAATAATAATAATAAGAGCTTTTGCTCAATAATAATTTTGAAAAATTAAATAAGTAATTACATAAATAAATTATTTAAGAGATAATTAAATAAATAAATAAAATGCAGAAACAAAAACATATCAATAATAAGAAAGAAGACTAATTTCGGAAAAAAGAGATTTATATACCCTTGCAATAATAATAAGCAATAAGTAATAAATATATTAAAGAATGTTTGTTAATAAAATATATCATAAAAATTGTAAATTTTTTTCCACACTCAAAACCAAGTCGGATTACAATATTTATAAAATTAATGGTTCGCCTAAAAATATAATAAATAAATATAAAATTGATAACAACATAAAAATAAATATTTTGTCTCAATAAATAAACTTAATACTCAAATAAGGTATTTTTTATTTATTTATAATATTAAATTATTTCTAATCTTCAGTACTAATTGTGCAAGTTCTTATTTTAAACAAAAACCGTACATTGTAAATAAAGTTTTGTTAATAATTAAATAATAGTAAATATATGAAGTACTGAAAACCCCGAAATAACGCTTAAAATAAAAAAAGGTACATGAACTGTTTGTTTATATTATTTAAAGCTCATAAATTGATTATTACCGAACACATCAATTTTTTTGTTTAGCTTTTTAAGCAGTCTCAGTTTATTCATACTCATATTTCTGTCACCAAAATAAAGCAATCGTTAAATAAATAAAAAGAAGAGAAAAAAAAACAGCTGAGCTCAAATTTCCTTTGGGAATAAAATTTGTGAAAAATATATAGGCCTTTAGGAAGAAAGTCTTAGCTAAGCAAGATATGAAAATTAAACGTTTATTAAAGAAATAGGTAGATTATTTAATGCCAACTAATGCAAAAATAACCTTTGATAGACCCTTTTGACAGTCCTTTCTAAAGTCTTAAACTACAATGTTGTAATCTTGCATTATCTTCCCTGGGAACTAAAAACATTCGATGCTTTTCCTATCAAAAAAATCTGGAATCAATGAACGGCCCTGAAAACAACCTCGAATGGCTCTGAAATTGAGATGGGAAATGTTATTTTTTAATTTAATAAATGGGAAAAAAAATATTTAATTGGAAACTATGTAATATTTTACAAAAAATAATTAGGAAATAATGATATAATATTCAAAATTAAGGCTTTACTTTACATTTCTTTAAGGGATAAGAAGGGCTCCCTAAGAAAGAGAAATAAAAGATTTTTATTGTATGTTACATTTTTAATTTAACTGGAATTAAAATATATGTTATATTTAAAGATAAGTTCTATAATTTAATAATATTTTTACCTTTGGTTGTTGTCTCCAAAGCACATCCCTAAGTTCAAATCATTAACTCACCGAATCACTTATGCGTCACGACGACAGACTCCCAATGAACCTAAAAATATATAAATCTAAGATTTAATTTAATTGCATGACGAATTAAAATAGGAAATATAGAATGCCTGCAACAAAGTTGCATTAGTTTTGCAACAAACTAACATTATCAGCCGGCCAACCGGCAGGTGCTGGGTCATCATCGGGCGGGTCAGGTAAGTCAGGTGAGCTCGTGTGCCCACGCAGCACTCTCGGGTCCCCCTTCCTCAAAAACCACCTGAAGCAGCGAAACAAAGTGACATGGAAGGGCACTGACAAATATTGGTTTGGATCGGCTATATAAACCGCCGATGGACGGAGGAAAAGTCAGTTCAACTCGCTCTGTGTTGAAGTCGCATCCCCGGAACCGGAATCGTAACCAAACCATGAACCCCATGAGAGTGCTGAGCCTTCTGGCTTGCCTGGCGGTCGCCGTCATGGCCAAGCCCAATGCCCATATGGACAACTCTGTTAACCAGGCCCTGAAGCCATCCCAGTGGCTGTCCACCTCCCAGCTGGAGAACATCCCGGCCGTCGATGATCTGACCATGGAGCGTCTGGAGAACATGAGCCTGGAGAGTGGCGCTGAGCTGCTGCAGCAAGTTTGTGAGTATTTCAAGGAGTTCTTTCTGGAAAGAGAAGTAGAAATAATATTGAATTTAAAACCCATACAGACCACCTGTCGCAGATCCACCACAATGTGCAGCCCAACTTTGTGCCCAGCAACATCCAGGTTTATGTGCCCAAACCCAATGGCCAGAAGATCGTTGCCCCCCTGAACGAGATGATCCAGCGTTTGAAGCAGAAGCAGAACTTTGGCGACGATGAGGTGACCATCATTGTGACCGGCCTGCCCCAGAACACCGAGACCGTCCAGAAGGCCACCCGCAAACTGGTCCAGGCTTACATGCAGCGTTACAATCTCCAGCAGCAGCGCCAGCAGGCCAAGGCCGGACAGGACTACGAGGACAACAGCGACAAGAAGAACCAGCGCACCAGCAGCGAGGAGGACTCCAGCGAGGAGGCCAAGAATGGCAAGACCCAGAGCGGTGACATCATTGTAAGTAAAGGTAGTTTCCCCAACGAAATCCATCTCTAATCCTTCTAATCCTTTAGGTGATTGACCTTGGCTCCACCCTGACCACCTACAAGCGTTATGCCATGCTCGATATTGAGAAGACCGGCGCCAAGATCGGCAAGTGGATCGTGCAGATGGTTAATGAGTTGGACATGCCCTTCGAGACCATCCATTTGATTGGCCAGAATGTTGGTGCCCATGTTGCCGGTGCCGCTGCCCAGGAGTTCACCCGCCTGACCGGCCACAAGCTGCGTCGCGTCACTGGTCTGGATCCCTCCAAGATTGTGGCCAAGAGCCAGAACACTCTGACCGGCCTGGCCCGCGGTGATGCCGAGTTCGTTGATGCCATCCACACCTCTGTCTACGGCATGGGTACCCCCATCCGTTCCGGTGATGTTGATTTCTATCCCAATGGACCCGCCGCCGGTGTGCCCGGTGCCAGCAATGTTGTGGAGGCCTCCATGCGTGCCACCCGCTACTTCGCCGAGTCAGTGCGTCCGGGAAATGAGCGCAGCTTCCCCGCCGTCCCCGCCAACTCCCTGCAGCAGTACAAGCAGAACGATGGCTTCGGCAAGCGCGCCTACATGGGCATCGATACCGCCTACGATCTGGAGGGTGACTACATCCTGCAGGTGAACCCCAAGAGCCCCTTCGGTCGCAATGCTCCCGCCCAGAAGCAGAGCAGCTATCATGGCGTTCACCAGGCGTGGAACAACAAGGACAACAAGGACTACGAATAGGACATACACACACACTCTCTCTAAGCCACACACACAACACAACGACGCTTCCGGTGGAGCAAAACCCGTAGTCCCTAAGTTCAAACCGAATTGGCATTTTTTTGTTAGCAAAACTTGTAACGAGCAGATCGCAAAATTTAACTCGCAAATAAACGCTAAAGGATCTCTTTGATAGAGAGCCCAAACGTACATATATCTTGAGGTATTTTTGGTACTATGAGACAGGTATATATGGGGGTTTATGGAGACTACCTGATGGGATGGGTGTTCCAGGGAGTGAATTGAAAACTCAAAGGAAGGTTAAGCTTATCTGTAAAATTCAAAATCTGTAGGGGAATAACTTAAAGATAAAAGGAAAATAGCTTAGATACTTGCATTTAAATTTATGAAGTAAAAGATATACAGGAGAATCACAATAAGATAAAACCTCTAAAGGAATAATCATAGATACTTGCCTTTAAATTGCATTTAAGGACAACATTTCATCGGATTGAATAGATATTTGTAGAGCCTTCTTCAGAAATCTCTGAGCTTAAGTAGTAGAAAGAGATAAGGTTTCTTAAGATATCCATATACATAAATATGAACCAGAAGCAGACATCTCCAAGTCCATAGTGTATATATCTTCTTGATAAACATCAGCCAAGCCCGTATGTTTAAGATCTTAGAGACTTCAAGAGCTAAAGCTACTAAATTTGGTAACAACACAAATCAAGCTTATTTTACGATCACTTTCAGTCTGAAAATTGTTGATATAATAATAAGATGAATAATAAGTTCTGCTCGGATATACTCTGAAAATTTAATTAAAATCGGTTAATAAACATGAGAGTTATGGAAGCTCTTAGACAATAAACCTTTTGTATAGGTTAAACTTCTGCAACACAGATAGATGTTGCTCAACATTTTCATCATGTGTCTTCATTTCAACATGTTGGGCAACATGTTCCTAGCAACATTTAATGTCGAATATCAACATTTGTTTCCGCCTTTCGTTCTGTTTAATTGAAGTTTTTCATAATGTTAAATATAATTAAATTAACCACGTTCAAGTTCCTTGCTTTGGGAAGAAGGTAACTCACACTCGACTGGAGCTTTCCTACATGTTTCATTATATGTATCAAATTTAATTAAAATATGGTAAAAGAAATTATTATAAATTTGTATAACTAAATAACTAATTTTCTAAATATTTAAAAATCCATAGAACCTAGCTTAGACTTACTTGTTCTTAAAAAAAATGTAATACCCCATAAAAACAAATCGTTTTGAATTGGTTTTGTAAACTTAGATTTATTTTATTGTTGCCTGTGTTTTGCATGTTTTTGTTTTATGTTTCTCAATGTGTCGATTGCATTGCATTAGATTGGAAAAGAATTTTCATAGGGACGATTGGGAGGCAATAACACAATAACAATAAACCTCAACCCGAAGCAATAACAACTAGAAATATACAGCCAAGAGTTTAGGATCCAGGGCCTTGGCAAGATTTTAGCATTTGTTCAATTTCGTTCTATTTAATGTTTGTGTTTGTTTTTTACTTTTACCATCTTTTGGTTTTGGTTTTAATCGTTTAGTTAAGTGCACATTCCGAATTGTTAGAATTATTGGTATTCTCTATATGTATGTTGTGGTTTTTCTTAGCTTTAGCAGATCGATGCAAAGGAAATAACTATATGTGGCTCAAAAAAAGAGGAAAACTTGGTATAGCGCAGGCCAAAAGTGTCTTAAAAGTTAACTACAGTCTTTCTTAAGATACCCAATCTTATGTACATCCCTCACATGCGTACGAGTATAATTCTTAATGGTTTTGCATCGGTATATACACAATAATCGCTTGTTTAAAATTAGTTTTGATTTTCTTAAGTTTTTTTTTATAACAATTTCATTGTTTCGATTTTGTTTTTCTTAGTTTTCAGTGAGTGGAAGCAGTTTTTGTTTGTTTTTCATTCGAATATTTGATGGTTTCCCAGCTACTTGAACTATCTCTCTATATATATTTCTCTCTATATATATATTTATATGTATAATCGTTATTTAATCATACTATCAATTTAATTAGCTTTGAGGCCGAACTAAAGCACAAGGCGTTTTGCCGTTTATTTAAAATGTTTATCAAACTTTTTTTTTGGTTTCAAGTATATTTTAATATATATATATATATATAGTATGTATATATAGATCGTTTGGTGCGCTCTACAGTGCAAAATATTTGCTCAATTATAAAATTGTTTCACAGTTTGTTAAATCCTTTCAACCGAACCGAAAACAAAACAAGTTGGAACGCTATAGCCGAGGGTCTGGGCTATGGGAGGTCCGTTACAGAAGATTATATATATAGAATTTACTGAGATGGAAAAAGGATCTGAATTTTATTGTTATATAATATTTAAACGGATAAACGGACGAGAAGGGGTAATTTCTTAAGTTGGGCTCTTCAGTAACAGACCTCTTTCTGCTGCATTTGTGGCTCTAAGCAAAACTCTTTCGCTAAACTCTGTCTGTTGTCTATGTATATATCTGGGATCTGAGTAATCCAATTGCTGTAACTCAGATAGCGTTTTTGTTTTTTAGCTAGGCAATAATTCAATTGAATTCTCATTCGTCTTCGTCTACGAGCTTCAGCAAGTTCATGATGGTTAGATAATAACTCGAGTGGTAAATCCTTACAATGTCCGTTTCAATTGAATTTGTATCACAGCAATATATTTGTTTTTGTTTATATTTATAATACGTGTATATATGCTACATATATATGTATATATATAGTTGTGATCTGGGAGAAGCAACGAGATGAGCAATAAATCATAGGGTTAGGCAGAGGCTAATATGGCCCAAAAACTATCGAAAGCTGTCATAAGAACAATTGGTAGAGTAAAGTTTAACAACTTTTTTAAGAGAATTTTCGCTAACTAAAACATGGATTGGGAAATTACAGAACTTGATAGTAACAAGATGAGTAACGCTGGCATAAAAGAAGTGAAATTTATAGGCGTTACGCATCTTGCTATAACAAGGTGGCCAAATTTCAATTTTTCTAAGCGCAACAACGGACCAGAAACCGAAGGTAAAACAAGAGTGTTGACCTATAAGCTCCATGTTGTCCAATCAACAACCTAGATGTGTCCAGTGTTTGTACTCTCAAATGCGCTTGATAGTGGGCCCGGTGAAGAAGACCGATACCTTGCGCTTGAACCGCTCCATGGTGGGCTCATGCTCCTCCTCATAGTCCTCGTCGTCGTCATCATCATGACGGTGTCGATGGTGATGGTGGTGATGGCTCTGAACCTGCAGGTGGAAGGGTTGCAGATGATGGTGACGCGGCTGATGTTGCTGCTGCTGACGGGGCTGTTGTTGCTGCAACTGCAACTGCTGCTGCTGCTGTTGCTGTTGCTGGGGATGAAGATGCGACCGAGGCTGGCGATGATGCTGAGTGCCAAAGATAATGGTGCGTGGAAAGGCCAGGGGCACATTATCCTCACCCTCCTCGCCCTCGCCATCGTCCAGCTCCTCGTCGTCGGCATCCTCGCCTGCCTCATCGCCACCTGCTCCGCCATCCGACTCGCTGAAACCGGGATTTAATATTATATTCGGTATAAGCTCAATGCTGTCCCAACCATCTTGCAGTTCTTTAGGCCACAAGAATAGGATTTTTTAGAATTGGTTGGAAAAGATTTTCAAAAAATTTCCATTTAGATCATAGAGAGAGAGAGAGAAAGAATGAAGAGAAGTTGTATAGAGAGAGAGAGAGAAAGAAAACGAGAGAGAGAATACAAAATACACGAATTAGAAATATTTTTAATAATTGTTCTGTACTTTACCTCTGCTTTTCTAGGGAATTTTATTGTTTATTGTTTTGTTTGTATTCAAGTGTGTGTGTGTGTGTGTTATGGTGTGTTTGTGTGTGTGCAACAGTTTAACACAAATATTTACAGGCGTCGCTTCAGCCAAGTGACACTCAAAAAATAAAGCCATCACTTCAAGCCGCCAAGCGTCACACGGGGCGTATGCGTAATGCAAGCAACAAATTTTGTCTCGCTAAATATAAGTGTGTGTTTATAGAGTGTATAAAGTGTATATATTGTATATATGTATGTATTTGTCTATGTATATATATCTTTGTGTATCTAATGTCTCAGTGTCTTGTGTGCATTTTCTATGAAAATCCAAGCTCAAGTGTGTGTGTGTGTTTTGAAGACAACAAAAAGGCTAAATCGAACGAAACATTATAACTCTTGTTTTGGTTTGGGTTTACTTTTCTTTCATATTTTTCTTTTTTCATATTTAATATTCGTGCTCTTTGGGGCTTTAATTATTGCAAATGCAAATAACACAATAAATATTCAGTAAGTTACAACATACACGGTTACAACATTAATAAAGCGTTTCCTTGTGGTCTAGGCGTTTTACAATATTTATATATATTTATATTTAGCAATATGTCTAGTTTATTTAATGGTTTATTTATATAGGTTTTGGTACGTTTGGCTTAAAATTGTTTAAGACCTCTAGAGACGGTTTAGGTTTACTTTGATTTCGATATCGATTACGTTTTCGATATCGATTTCATTGATTGATCTTGGCTACTAGTGCAGGCTATCACAGTTAAAGTGCTTAAAGCTTTGCCTTTTTGGTCTAGATTGTATTTTTTTCATTGTTTTTTGATTACTTTTTGAAGTCTAAGAGTTTTGATTTGATTGAATTTAAATGAATAAATCACTTGAAAATGTCCTGAGGCTCTAAAATGATTCAAATGGAAGCCAGAATTTCACAATAAATGTAATCAAGCGAATCGAAATACTTGGTTTTTATATGATTATTAAAACTTGCCTAAGGCAGTTTATTTATGAACGTTTTTCTACTTATAAAATCTATGTAAGCGAACCTAAATATTGTTTTTCTTTTCTTTTTTTTTGCTGGGAACTCTCTATTATTTCACTTTAAAATTTTGTTGAAAATATATATAAACAGGTAGGTTAAGCTAAGGTCTAAGGCCATTTCTTGAATCAATATCTGACCGCTCTAAAAGCTTTTTCATATCAAATAGCATACATTTATATATGCATTTTTTGCTTATGTGATTGTATTTACAGTTCATAGGGGTCGCCAACTAAGGCTATGTACACACAAATATATATATGGTTTATAGTATATTATATGGCTTAAATATAAACAACATCCAACGACAAAGCAAACATTTCATTGCCGCAATTATCCGGAGGCGAACATAACAACAAAATGCGGTTAAATTCAACTTAAATATTAATAACAACGACATGTAGCAGCGGCAACAAGGATATAGCATAATAACAACAGCAACAACATCAATATATATATAACATTAATTAATTAATTAATTAACAATGCAGGTAAATGGTAAGCGAGTCAACTTAGGAAACCAAGAAAAGCCAAAATGGAAAGCACACATCCGCCACAAAAAAAAAAACAGGTGAGAGATTGCTGCTGATAATTGCTGGATAGGTTTTTCTCAGGGTTTTTGTTTGCTGTTATTTCAAACTGGGGGATATTCGAGTTATCGAGTTTTTTTTTTAGTTGTATTTTTTTGGAGTTGATCGACTTAGTCTGTACCCATTTGCGCTGACTGATAGCACTCCTTGGAGAGCACAATGCAGAGTCCGATCGCTAATATCACAAGGGTCCCGAGCACTATGCTGACGGCCACTATCCAAATGCGTGGATCGAAATTGTCTAAGTCGGGTTTTATAAGGCGTATGAGATCTGAGATACACACAGACACACACATTCACATAGGAACAGAGAGAGACAATTTGAGAATTAGAGAGAGAGAGTGAGAGAGAGAGAGAGAGAGGGGAGAGAGATACAGATGGACAACAAAAATTAACAAAAATTACAAATCGAATTACTAAACAATAAGCTATATACGTATACGTAATTAGTGTTTAGTCAATAAGGCTACCAATCAAGTAACTAGAGTTGGGCTTTCGATCAGAGCTGCAACTAGTTGTAAGTCGATATAAATCGATATATATCGATACATCTTTAATATATTTACCACTCTAGTGCAGCCCCCATTCGCTTAGCCTTTGTATAGATATCGACACCAATTGGAAATGACTGTTAAACTACCGTTTAGAATTACAGTTTACACATTTAAATATGAAGTTAAATCAAAGTTACCCAAAAGGGATAGAACGACATATCGATAGTCTAGCCTGGTTAAGACCTAGCCTAGTCTAGCCTAAACAGAGCCTAACTAACAACTGTTTTGAAAGGACTCTCAAACGGAAGTACTTACCCTCCTCCTTGGTTTCCGGCAGTGTGGTGACATTAGTGGTGACCACTTCCCCACTGCCCAGCTCATTATTGGCCCATATCCGAAACTCATAGGTGGTGTTTGGTGCCAGGCGATAGACCTCCATTTGGCGCTGTCAGAAAACATTTTAAAAATTTGTTTTTAGGAGACTTTGGAGGATATATTCTATTAATACTACTCACCACATTGGGGGCTATATTAATGGGATCCATTCGACTCCAGGCATGCTCGAAGCTGGCATTCGCCGGCGGTGTACTGTAGGAGACATTCCGGAATTCGGCCGTGAAACTGCGCACGGGATAGCCACCGGACTGGGTCTTATTAAAGCGCCAAATGAGAAAACCCAATATGGTGGAGGCTTTGAAGTACAGTTGCGTCACCGGACCCGGAACCGTGCGAACGGTGAGCTTTGTCCGCTGATAGGCCAAATATTCCACTTCCTCCTGCTCCGCCTGCTCCGTGTCCTTGGAGGACTCCCTGTCCTCATTCTCCTCATCCCGATCCTGTGCTTGTTGTGGTGAGGTAGTTGCTGATGTTGCTGGACTGCTCCTTGCAATTGCAGTTGTTGCAGATGTTGCAGTTGCTGCAGTTGACGATGGCCGGGGCAGCGAGGCGAAGCACACGTAGATGCCACCATCCGAGGGGCTTACATTGCGCAGAACCAAGACACGACCAGTCTTTGAAGAGTAACGAGTAACGGGAACGAGCAACGAGTAACGTGTATTCTTAACTGTAATATTTTTAAATAAAAAGGATATCCCGTGGACTCACCTGAACTATTGTGCTGTTGTTGCCGTGCTCTTTCACCCACATAATGTTGCCCTGGGCTATGCAAGGTATGCTCACATTGTTGCCCTTGTCTGTGGCGTATTCGTTGTACTTGATCGTCGAACTGAGTACAGTGAGCACTGTAACGAAGAACAGAACATAATTGTTAGTATAACAAGATCTATGCATAAAATATTTATAAAACAATAAGTCAATAGTTGGTATAACAATTTTTATAACAAAATGTATGTATACAATATATACATAATAGTTTTTATAAGTTCTTTAAAATTTTGTATAATTTATAGTATAAATGTTAGCAAATTAATTGAGATAATATGTTTAATTGCAGCAGTAATACCCATTTGTTTTAAGGGTAATACAACCAAAGTATGACCCCTATATTGTATAACACATTTTTTGCTAATAAAAATTTCTTGCCAGCTTTTAAAACAAATTCTATGAAATGTGTTTATAAGAAATTGTATGAAAGATTTTATAACAAAATTTATGGAAGTTTGTTTAAAAAATGTTATGCTTGTTTATATAAATCCTTGTATAACATTTAATTTTATAATTAAATGTGACATACAAATGTAAACAACAACTTGTCTATGACTTTAGCAGTTTTTATAAAATTTCGTATAACCGTTTAAGTGTATTTTAACGATATTTTTTTATTATATATATTTGAAAAATATATATAAATTATATATTTAGAAACATATATAAAATATTAAATATATTTTAGGGGGGTGTTAGTTTTTTGAGAAAACTTTTAAGCCAAGTATACTTTCCCGCTGCAAGAGTTATACATTTTTATACCCTTGCAGGGTATTATAATTTCAGTCAGAAGTTTGCAACGCAGTGAAGGAGGCACCTCCGACTATATAAAGTATATATATTCTTGATCAGGATCAACAGCCGAGTCGATCTAGCCATGTCCGTCTGTCCGTCTGTCCGTCTGTCCGTCTGTCCGTCTGTCCTTCTGTCCGTCTGTCCGTCTGTCCGTCTGTCCGTCTGTCCGTTTCTACGCAAACTAGTCTCTCAGTTTTGAAGCTATCTGAATGAAACTTTGTAGTTAGCCTTCTATATACTCTCACTCGTATATATGTCGGAACGGGCCGGATCGGACGACTATATCATATAGCTGCCATAGGAATGATCGGAAAATTTTTACAAACAAAAATTTAACATTTTCAGTTTTCAATAGAATTGAATCAAATTTGAGATATAGCCATTTTACTATACTCTACAATTTTGTATAAAATTTTATAAAAATCGGACTACTATATCATATAGCTCCCATAGGAACGATCGAGAAATTAATACAATTAAAAATTATAACTTTTTCAGTTTTCAACAGATTTTCATCAAATTTTATGTGTAGCCATTTTATGCTAGTCTTAAATTTTGTGTCAAATTTCATGAAAATCGGACGACTATATCATATAGGTGCCATACAAACTATTGTTTGATGTAAAAGAAAAATGGAAATCTGTGAATGAAAAGCTGCAAATATAATATGTATAGGTGAATGAAATGAAAGCAGGTATTACTTCATTGGTTTTTAACACAAATATATATAATTTATATGGTATGGATTCCTAGTCATAGAATTTCTATCTGCAAGGGTATATAAACTTCGGCGTGCCGAAGTTAGCTTCGTTTCTTGTTTCCATATGATACACCCTGTTCTTTACCCCAAGATATCCCTGATAAGCTTTACCCCCTTTAAGTACTTTGATTAATTGATAGATAAAGGCCTTAGGTGACCTCTCCAGAACTGGGGAACATGATTAGCTCACAGTTTGTGGTCCGATGTCTCTGTGGTTGGAACGCTGCCTGACGGGTTACTTCCAGCTCATGGGTTTGACCTGCGGCTGGAGTGGCTCCCGTTTGGGTCGGCTACTGAGTAGCAGTTTCCTGGTTCTCATCATGATCGAAAGGTCATGTGAAATCCGGAGTTACTTCAGAGAGACATTTACAGACAGTGATGGCAACACATCGGACACATCGTACTTCTTCGCCAATACCGTTCAAGGTGTCAATGTGGGTTACAAATTGGTTCATTTACTAATCGTTGGCATGGCCTTAATCGAGTGTCAGCGAAGTCGCCGCCTGTTGGAGCAACTGCCTCCGGTTAGGATTACACCTTTTATATACAGGCAGATCGTCCTGGAAACCCTCCTGAATGGTTATATCCTAGGTCTGAATATTTACTTGTGCAAAGATCGTCTGGGAATGCTTCTCGAGTGCCTCCGTGTTGTGTACAGCAACCAGGCGGTGCGTGCTCGTTATTTGCAAGTGCTTCTCCTAGTGGATCGCCTTGACTTCCAGTTGGAGCAGCTGCTTCAAAGGATGACCACCAAAGGACGAACTGTGGACTATAAATCCCTGCGATGTGACTACGCTCGTTTGGCCAAGGTAACACGATCCCTGTCACAGCTTTATGGCCTCTCGCTCCTCCTGCTGAATGTCCTGTGTCTGGGAGACTGCCTTATAGCCTGCAATGTGTACTTTATGGTGGAATATCTGGAGGTGTTGACCGCCAGTTGGTTTGTCTTTGCCCAACCTGTGTATATTGTAGTGCCAACACTGATCAAGATCTGGACATTGTGCGCCGCCTGTCAGCGATGTGTGGGAAAGGTGAGAATTTCTTCTAACTTTAAAGTTTAATTTAATTTTCTATTAATCCCTTTTCAGGCGAAATACTTGCAGGCACAGCTAAGGGATCGTCCCGGACAATCGCCAGCGGAAAGGACTCAACTCGAAGAGTTTGTCCTGCAAATTATGCAGGATCCTATACATTTCGATGTCTGTGGAATATATCAACTCAATCTGCAGTCCTTAGCTGGGGTAAGACTCTATAAACTAAGGGAAAACCTCAAACGATCTCAAGTTTCTTTTCATTTATCCTACAGATGTTCTTCTTTATCCTGGAGGCTTTGGTAATATTCCTGCAGTTTGTGTCCCTTGTGGGGAAAAACCAAACCATGGACTAATAAATCATTCGGGCCAGAGGTCAGAGCTATGAGAACATGCAACATGGTTTTGCTTGTCGCAAGGAAAATGTAAAGGAAAAAAAGCGCAGGAAAAACCGGAAAAAAATCAAACAGAACGTTGGGGAGAAATTCTTCAATTTTGGCCGTTGTTGTATTTCTGCATGCGGAAAATATTGAAAATGTTGCCGCGACACGCGAAGGTCATACACACACACTGCACACACACACACACATCCTGCACTGCTTACATATTTATGACGATGCCTGTTTCCGCTTCTGCCTCTTCCCTCTCGCTTGTTCGACAGCCATCAGCCATCAGCAAAGGAAACAACAATGGCAACAATAAACACACCAAAAGGCAACGCCATATTTTATTTTTGGCCTCAATGAGGGGCAACGCTAAAAGTCACCTATTAAAATCCACAAGAGGGGAAGTGTGGGTGGAATTCCAAAGCTACATAAGGTTGCAAAACAAAAGGTGACAAGAGCGCTAAGCCCTGTGGCTATTGATCCTGGTGCTTTATCCATTTTAATTGGGTTTACTTTTGGCCCAATGCAGTTTCAGGGTGCTCAGTTTTTTACCAATTTCTTTGTGTCTTTGTATTGAGTTTATTAAAATGAAATTTTACAGTCTAATTAATTTTAAAAATATTTGAGAATAGTTTAATAATATGCCAAAGCTTTCGATTCGATTTGTGATCGATTAGAAAATTCAGAAAATATCGATATATTGATATTGTAAGTATTCAACACAAAAGTCGATATACATATATATAAATCGATATTTTAAAGTAGAGCAATACATAAAAAAATTGAGAAATTACATACATGTATGAAAAATATAAAAATATGTACAATTTGTAATAGATTAGCAATGGTAGCAATGTCGATATATCTATAAGCTATCGGTATCTACTACAAAAAGTAATATTAAATAGATATTTTAACGTTATAATATTAATGCGATATATACATTTAATTTGTATTTCATGTAACGAATAAACAATAAAATCGAAGAACAATTTGTGGTAGATTTGAAAAGGCAGAAAACATCGCAATATTGATACTGTATTGGTATCGAACACAAAAATCAATATTTAATATATATTTTAAAGTAGGGACATTTTTACGATAAATAAGATAGATTTTTATTTGATGTATATTAATATCAATCAATATATTTATACCAAGTTGTACATAATATTATTCGAGTATATTTTAGAATCTATCAATATTTGTTATGTAAAAAGCTAAAATTGAATTTAAAATTTCAATATATCCAACTTCGATGGTATTAATACCCTTGCAGAATATTCTAACTTTAGTCCGAAGGTTGAAACTAAGTGAAGGATTCATTTCCGACCCTATAAATCATATAAATTATTGATCATCATCAATAGGAGAGTTGATTTAGCTATGTCCGGATAAATTTTAATGTTTTTCAAAATTTTAAAAGTTTTATAAACGGTTACATCGATAAAATTGTCAAAAATAGACGAAAATTTTTAATTTTTTTATATTTTTAAATTGAATATGCAAATTTATTAACCTAGCAAAAACTAACATAGAACAGCTTTCTGAAATACAATTTATGATTTTTTGGCTAAGTTATGAGATTTTTAAACTTTGATTTGTCAAAAAAAATATATATAATACAAAATATGTAAATATCCATAAATATCAATTCAAAAATTGCGAATCTTTTAAGCTTATTTATGACTGATTTTCGTTTCGATCCTATAAATTAATTGCAAACTGCATAGGTATATAAACTTTGGCTATCCGACGTTAATTTCCTTTCTTCTTTTGATATATTTTTATCTATATAGGAAGTCCAAATTTTCCTTTCGATATTTCTTTTCTATGCTTTATAATATTTTTTAGTTATTAATTTTGGTAATTTTTCTTCTTATTAAGATAACACTATTAAAAAAAAAAACTTCTTCATGTATCTATATACGAACCCAAAACACTATCAATATTTGTTGTCTTATGAAAAAAGTTTCTTGGCCAAAAGTTAAAGGTTATAATACCTGGACTTAACTAAATTGCTTTCTTAAAGTTGGTCATTGTAAATAATACCAAGCACAGGGCAAACGCAATCATTTCGCAGCGAAAACATTCCCACAAAAAACACAGAAACTCATCCCAAGAAACAGCAGAAAACAAAAACAAAAAAACAAACAATTTTAAGGTTTAACCTTGTCCAAGTTGGAGCAGAAAAGTAAGTCAGTCAGTCAGTCATCCATAATGTTGATAAAGTTGCCGCTGCCTGGCGGGAAACTCGGTGGAAAACAACAGTCTCAGTGGTCTTTCTCACCCCCTTTTTTTTTGTTTGTGAGGGTGGAGGCTTATGTAAGGCGCAATCTGCTTGCCGAAAAGTATGCAATGAATTTTGTAGTTGCTCTCCACCTCGAAGACCCCTTTGGCCGGTGACGTCAATTAATTGATTTCATCACGAATTCCATGTAGGCGACTTAATTTACACAAGGAAACATATACACATCAAAAATTATACAAATAACTCACTGATCAACTTAATTAAGTATGTGATTAACGGACGAAAGAGATTTCAAATCGGATTTTTTCTTATTTTAATTTAATTTTTAGAAAAAATAATAATAACTTTTACAGTTTTTAACATATTTTGATTTAATTTGATTCAAAGCTATCTTTTATTAATATAGAATTAGTTTTAGTTAGAGAAACGGTTGTTAAAAGTAGAAGATCAGTAAGAATCTTTCAAAAGTAAGTAAGTAACTATGATCAGTAAGTAACTATGATCAGTAAGTATCAATGAACATTAAGTAGCTATGAGCAATAAGTAACTATAATCAGTAAGTATGTTATCTATGATCAGTAAGTAAGTCTGAACAGTAAGTATCTATGACCAGTAAGTAACTATGATCAGTAATCATCTATAACCAGTAAGTATATTTGATCAGTTACTAACATCAAACACTATGACTTGCAACTTTTGTAAAATAACACATGTCTGAGACTTGGCTTGCAGCAGTCACTTCGTTCAGGGGATGTTAAAACCAGTTGGGAATCATATGCACACATATGCGTAAGTAACTCTGAACACTAGTTAACAATAACCAGTAAGTAACTTTGATCAGTAAGTATTGATAAACATTAAGTAACTATGATCAGTAATTAACTCTGAACAGTAACTATCTATGATCAGTAAGTAACTATTATCAGTAATTATCTATGCCGACTAAGTATGTATGATCACTCACTTAGTTTGAACACAAATAAACAATGACTTGCAACTTTTGTAACACAACACATGTCTGAGACTTGGCTGGTAGAAGTCACTTCGTTCCGGGGATGTTAGAACAAGTTGGGAATCATATGCAGCTGACCAATAAGTAACTATGATCAGTTAGTATCAATGAAGATTAAGTAACTCTGAACAGTAAGTAACTCAGACCAGTAAATATCTATGAACATTAAGTAACTATGATCAGTAAATAATGATGACCAGTAAGTAACTATCTTAATCAGTAAGTATTTATGATCAGTTACTAACTTTGAACACTAATAAACAATGACTTGCAACTTTTGTAACACAACACATGTCTGAGACTTGGCTGGTAGAAGTCACTTCGTTCCGGGGATGTTAGAACAAGTTGGGAATCATATGCCGCATGTGCGAGATTTGTTTTGGAACAAATTTAAGAGCAAGGAAGTGAAACTATGGAGTTATTCTTCTATATAATTTTACTAGTATATAAATCGGAGCATGGCGAATCGGTGGACTATATATATACATATATATAGCTGCCATAGGAACAATCAGAAAATGTTAAGAAAACAAATTATAACTTTTATAGTTTTCAACAGATTTTCATTAAATTTGATATCTAGCCATTATATATTAATCTAAAATTGTTTGTAAAGTTTAATGAAAATCGGACCACTATATTATAGGAACAATCTTTAAAAATAGAGGAAAATGCAAAACAGCATATGTAAAACTTTCAATATAAAGTGTATAGGTGAATGAAATTAAAGAAAACAATTTCTTTTTTGTTTTCCAGCATGATATTGATATTTTTAATAATTTGTAACTGCAATGTTTTTGTCAATATAAGTTAGAGTTACCACTTGATATATATCTATCTACAAGACTTATATAGGTCTAAGCTACGTTTTGTATCTTAAAACATGTAGTAAAAACGATGGAAAACTTAGCTCTGCTCGAACTTTTTCAAATAAAGAACTATATATACCCATCTAAGGTCTTCTAATTTAATTTTTCAAATTCGTTTTTAGTGCAAGGTCGGTCAATCAGGCGGCGGTCGTCGCTCAATCACTACTCTCTTGTCGATGGGCCAACCATCAATTGTTGAGCGATTTAATTAGGTCGCCCCCAGGGGCTTTGGGCCGTGACGCATTTTGGCCAGTTGCCTATTTTTAGACGCGGTTTGCATTGATTTTGCCATAAACACGAGCCACCCAAGCCAAACCGCCCACCGCCCACACAACAAGCCGATAAACAGCCCAACACAACAACTGCCGGCGATAAACGTAACCGAATCCCAAAGTCCCAAAGTCCCCGAATCCCCGAATCCGCCAAGTCAAAGACAAAATGACAAAACAGTCATGGAAATCCGGGAAAATAAAATCGAGAGAACAAGGAGACAGTCGGGCGGGCGACACCTTTTGTTTATTAACCGGATGCGGAACCCCTGGTAACCAACTATTTATTATGATGACTGACTGACTAACTGAATGATTGGCACGTGAGCAAGGGAATTTCCCCCCGGAAAATGTGAGAAAAACAGCAAAATAGCAAAACATCAAAACAGCAACAGCAAAATGAAAACAGCAAGTGAAAGTGCAACTAGAAATGTAATAAAATAAAAATGTTTACCAATTGACGGAGGGGTTTTTTTTCATACTTTTCCCCATTTTTTTCCTTGCCCCAACATTTTCCCCTCTCACACTCTCTCCCTCTTCCCTATTTGTCTGTTTTCCCACGTCTACAG